GGCGCCCCGACGGGCGCCCGCAGCCCGCGCTCCGGGCGGCTCCGCCTCCGCTCCCTGAAGCTAGGGTCGCTGCGCGGTCTTGCCCCGGACAGAGCGCAGCGGCTGGAGTCGTGTCCGCTACGCAGCAGGCGCCGCGGGCTCTGGTCGTGGGCGTGGGGCGCGGGGGACGGCCGAGCGCACAGCTCAGGAGCGCGCCGAGGCCGGTGACCGAGGGCGCGAATCCTGGGGCAGAGAGGGATCCCACAGTCTCCGTCCCGGTGACCCGCGTCCTCGGCTCCTCTTCCAGTACCTGGAGATGCGCTTCAACCGCGCCGTGCGCCTCTGCGGGACGCTGCAGTACCTGCTGGCCACGGTGAGCGGCCCGGGCCCCGCCCCGCCGCCGCTCGGCCCCGCCCCACTGGCCCCGCCCACAGCCCCGACATCGCCCACTCCTTCTGGCTCCGCCCCATTGGCTCCGCCCACAGCCTGCTCACTCATTTGGGACCACGCCCTTAGCCAGCTCACCCCGCCCAAGCACAGCTCACCTTTCCCCCGGCTCCGCCCACAGCCTGCCCCATCACTCAGGACCCCGCCCCAGCCAGCACCGTCCCGCCCACGCCTTCCTCGGGCCCCGCCCCTTGCTGCCCCACCGCCCCGCCCTCTCGCCCACAGGTGCTCTACACCGGCATCGTGATCTATGCGCCGGCGCTCATCCTGAACCAAGGTACGGCCAGGGGAGGTCGGGGCAGGGGCGCTGGGAGGGAGGGTGGCCTCATGGGGCTTCTGCCTTTGCACAGTGACCGGCTTGGACATCTGGGCGTCTCTCCTGTCCACCGGAATCATCTGCACCTTCTACACGACTGTAGTGAGTGGCTCGGACACGCCGTGGGGTCTCCCACAGAGGGTCTCCAGGCCACCAGCGCAGCCGTCCTCCTGCCTTCCAAGCCCTGTCCTAGCTGGGCTGAGCTTCAGCCTTTGTAATGCAAGGGACCTGAAAAGCTCGGTGCTGAGATCCAAAGATGTGCTAACTTCAGGCGTGGCCGGGCCCAAGGGCTCCCAAGGCCTCACCCCGCCCCTCTCCCCTGGGCTCCGCGGGCTTCGGGCTGATCTGCTGCGGAAAGAGCAGGCTGCAGTCCGGGGCTGGCAATACTCTCAAGTCCCCGGAGCCCGCCCGACCCGACCCGAGCACCACCCGCAGATGCTCTTCAAGGCAGTCTGCGGCTGGGGCGCTCTGATTGGCTAGTCCAGCCCCAGGGGGCGGAGTCAGCCTCCTTGGCGTCACGGGAGAGGAGCAGGGCTCTGCCAAAGAAAACTCCAGGGCCCTCCTTGGGGAGGCTGAGACAGGAAGGTCTGAAGGCAAAAATGACACAAAATGGTAGTGATCATCGTGTTGACATCCACGTGGAGACCCTCCCTGAGCACTGACTCGGCTCTGTTTCAAATCTTCGTCAATTATTAATTTATTTAATCCTAACAGCAGGGTGGGAAAGTCTTCTTGACCCCATTTTACAGATGGAGAATCGGAGGGAGAGAAGGGCGTCCGTCCCAAACACCGCTAGCTGGGTCCGCCCTCTCTGCCCGCTGCCCTGCCCTGGGCGGACGCGTGGCCTCTCTCCCGCAGGGCGGCATGAAGGCCGTGGTGTGGACCGATACGTTCCAGGTGGTGGTGATGCTGAGCGGCTTTTGGGCCATCCTGGCCCGCGGGGCCGCGCTCCTGGGCGGGCCCCGGCAGGTGTTCAGCCTGGCCCAGAACCTCTCCCGGATCAACCCAATGGAGTGAGGAAATTCGGAGGCAGGGCTGTGGTGTGGGGCAAAGCCTGTCATCCCAGCACCCCGTGGGGCTGTAGCAGAAAGATCGGGAGATCCAGCCCGGGGAAATCCAGCCCTTAGCGATTTAGTGAGACCTTACCTCAAAAAATAAAAAGCAGTAGGCATGTAGCTCAGTGTGAAGACCTTGGGATCCATCCCCAGTACTGCAAAAAAAGGAGGAGGGGGACATAAGAGAAGGAGATGGACTCGCCTCTCTGAGCTCTTGACTGAGCAGAGAAAGGTTTGTAACTCAAAAGAAAATCTGGCGAACTCCTACTCACCCTTCAAAACCTACTCTGAAAGTCCCTTAAGGTCCTGAATGGCTATCTGGGACCCCTGGGAAGGTAATCAATGTCACATCCTCTCATGGCCGGCTTGCGCTGTCACCACTCAGCTTTGACCCTGACCCTCGGAGTCGCTACACGTTCTGGACCTTCGTGGTGGGCGGCACGCTGGTGTGGCTCTCCATGTACGGCGTGAACCAGGCACAGGTGCAGCGCTACGTGGCCTGCAGCACGGAGCGGAAGGCCAAGCTGTGAGTGTCCGGGGACAAGGGGACGCTTCCGGGACGCCTCTGCTGCCCCCTCCCCCCGCCTGAGCCGCCCCTCCCCCAGGGCCGTCCTCATCAACCAGCTGGGCCTCTTCCTGATCGTGAGCAGCGCCGCCTGCTGCGGCGTCATCATGTTCGTCTTCTACAGCGACTGCGACCCTCTCCTCACTGGGCGCATCTCCGCCCCAGACCAGGTGAGCCCCTCCCCGCCCTTGGGTCAGAGCCGGAGCTGCCTGACGGCAGTCCCTCGTGCAGTCAATCAACAAACATACACCAGATGACCACTGCGCGCCCGCCTGTCCGGGGCCGGGGGTGTGCGGGGCCGGCAGACGGGAGCCCTCCCGGTGCCGCGCCCAGCGCCTGCCGCCCCGCCCAGTACATGCCCCTGTTCGTGCTGGACATCTTCGAGGACCTGCCCGGCGTCCCCGGGCTCTTCCTGGCCTGCGCCTACAGCGGCACGCTCAGGTAGGCGCGGC